AAAAAAACTCGAGAGGAGGGGGGACGGAAGAGTGTTTCAAAGATGTAAAAGAGACAGACAGAAAGGTAGAAAAAAGGTGAGGTGAGTACTGTGGAAGTAGTCGACAATGACATACAGTGGGGCGATGGTAGTTAGAAGCCAGAAGTCAACTGCCAGTTAATAGACTTTTTGCCGTATGAGTATACGTTGCCCAGGGTGAACCACGTGGAGGTAAGAGTGTTGGGATACAAGAGTGCTGTGTGATTGATGACACAGTCATTCTCCGTGGATTTAATCTAACTAATGAGATGATTGTCATTGTTGGGCATTCGCTATTGAAAAAGAAGATTAACGCCTCTCTATCGAGGTAGTTGGTAGCTATGGGCAAACTTAAGGTGCAGAGAACGGGAAATTTTCAATCACCAATGCCATTTCATCAATTTAAGAAATACATTCCTAGAATCTTATTAAATTAAACGTTAAGCTATCATCTATACCACCTGGCAATGTCAATGAGACAGCCTAGTGGTACCTTTAGACGTGGTTAGCTACCGATGACATGATCCCTACACGAACTGAAGACGATGAATGTTGCCACTTTATTTAGCAATTATACCAAATTCTGCACATGCTGTACTTGACGATGCAAATATCATTGAGGGGAGAATTACTTATTCACCACTTCTTTCTGAGAACGACCCAAATCTGCTCGGATTATGTTCACTTCAATTAAATGTTCTGAAAGTTTNATGAAGTGTGGTTGAGGGACATTTTCAACAATAATTTGGCCGTGAAAGGGTTATGAACGCACACGATTTGTAGCTGGTGTAAACATTCGACCTTGGTATTTTCAATCATACGGGACTCAGATATGAGACTTGTGGACTCTATTTTGCCTTGGCTGATCCATATGCTCTTTGAGAGTCCAATATTACGATTAAATCTAGGCACTCTCGCACTCGAACAACTGTTATCGAGCATTCCAGTGCTTCAATTATTTGATTATTACCCCCAAAATATGTGTGCCACTAAACAACTATTGTGGAAAATTGGTAACAACTAAATTTCACTCGATAAATTTGAATAAGGCCAACTAAACTGAATGAGGGGGTTGAAATAAAAGTTTTAAGCATTATACAGAATTTACTGACACCAGGAAATTTGAGTTTGTGTCAAAAATGAAATGTTCACTATTGGGAGCTCTAAATGGTCTAAGTGGTGGAAACCGATGTCTACCTCATGGAGTCCTTTCGGTAGCACATAAGTAGCTTTTACATCGAAACACACGAAGTCGAACAACTATGCTATAAGGGAGATTAAGGAAATTGAGCACAGTTGAAGTTCCAAATGAAGCGAAGCTCGTTCTGAGAGAACGTGCCTTGTACTTGGAGAATGCAGGGAAAGCGAAGATAGCGGCCCCACAAAACACTCGATTCTTTGACAGATGGATCGGTTCCAAAAGTGGGTGTGTCAATTTCCAGATTAGTCGGCACTGTCTTATCATTAGGATCACACTATTACCAAACACTCTGCCCCACCTTCCCTAAATAGGCCACTGTGAAAACTATCAATTTTGTGATATTTTAGGCCCTTGTAATTGATACGCAAATCTGCATGAGCAGAGGTCCTACACTTGATGACGATTTCCCAAATTCCCGAGAGAGAGGGTGTAGCGGATTTCTACCTTAGTAAAGCCTGACTGACACAGGATTCTCTATAGCAGATTCTCCTACATCTAGCTAGACTCCCAGAACCAGCTAAGCTATAGCCCACCTATAAAGGAAACAGACGTGTAGCACGGAGCACGTTTATTCAGTGGGTATATGACGGATAAAGTGTACACGCAGGGAGCTACTCATGATCAGGATGGGGGATTAGGTTAAACAGAGGTTGATGATTGGTCACTGTTTGCACGTTCGCTGCACACAGAGCTGTACGGCCGCACCTCCCAATCCTGGCGAGCAGACATGCGGGCATACGATGACGCACACAGCGATAACGTGTCCCACAAGGGAGAGAGTGGGGGGGAGAGAGAGAAATGAATCGCCTTATTATTTGGGCTGCAGAGTTTGCATTTTTTAAGAGGTAGGCTAGTAAACTCTAAATGTGAATTGGGAGACGCCTCCATATATGCTATCAACAATACTAATGTTCTCCCCTTGGTACTAAAAGTGGTTGAACTCGAGCAACAGGGCTTTCCAACTTCCAAAAACTTGGATGGGTAATTTGAAAGAATTAGGTGGTTTTCTAATGCAATAAGTGTACTTAATCACCATGCAAAGTCCTTTGATAAAAATGTTTCTTATTATTAAAACTAGATGGGAGTTAAACTTGTACTTTACTCTTTATGCAGGTTATAAAAAAGTATTTTAAGGGTAATGCTCTCTACCGTGAAGAAATCATGTTTGGTATGGTAAATTTCTGGTCCAACAGGCTGTGACGGTTCAACAAACTACATAAGTGGTCTATAAAAGCAATGAAAGAAACAACGAGCCGGAAGATATTCCGCACTATGAAGTTCTACTGCATTTTTTTAGGAATTTTTCTTTATAGCATCCTTGTGAACGCGAAATATCATTTTAAAAACGGCGATGAAAGGAGAAGTGAAAAAATAAGAGATATTGAAGAAAGGGAAGATATAGGAAAAGGATTTGAAGAGGATATAGAAGTTGGCTTAAGGGAAAGAAGATGGAATGGTGTTGGTGACAGTGTTGATTTGATGGGCAATGGCGGTGAACAGACTTTGGAAGTGAAAATGCTCCAACTGCACAATGAGTTTCGTAGAAATGCTTCTAAAGGGAGGGTGCCTTATCAGCCAGGTGCTATAGGACTTCAAAATCTTGTAAGTCTCTTCTACTGCATGACTTGCCTTTGTTTAGGTTTGGAGCGAAGGTCTAGCAAACATGGCCAAGGAAAGTTCGAAAAAATGTCAACTTAAACCTACTAGCGGTTGGAAAATTGACGGGATTGGCCAGAATATTGCCAACTCGCGAACAATTGAGGAGTGGGTGTTTGAGTATAGTAGTGTCAACGTTATTTCGCAGCCTTTAGTCTATCACGATTTGAAATTGTAGTGCCTTCAAACAATGGACAAATGAAAGCAAGAATTACTTTTATCAGACCAATTATTGCGAAGGTAAATGCAGAAGTTACAAGCAGGTGAGTGTAAGATGAACTGATAGAAGAGTGGTTAATTGCCAGTTGTTAAGTACTGATTAAAGGTTTCATCTTGAAAATATTTATTGATTTGCAAATGTACTCTTTCCATTTCAAGTTAGTGTCATCGCTCACAAAGTATGTAGGCTGTGGTGTTACGAAGTGCTCAAATTACGGTTATGTACTTGTTTGCAACTACGGCATTCGGTAAGGAGAAAAGAACTTTTTATTTGTTAATATTCCTGTTAAATATTAATTTGCTGTATGATTGTTTTGCATTTTGCAGCGATATTTTGGCTGGAAGACCCTATAGAAAGAAACTAATTAGATGAGATTGTCCTTTTTAAACAGATGTTCTGACGCATATTTCGTCTTCGAACTCGTCAATCTATTAAATTGAAATTAAATGTTACTTTATAACTCTCAAGTCTTGTTCTGCTTCTTTATCTACTGGAGTGATCTGTTTATAGCATCCAAATAACTGTGTCGTTAGAGCAAACAGTGAAATTTTCTTTGTGATAAGCATTATCAGAACCAAACAACATTTCAGATGACGAACTGTCATGATGTAAGTACAAACAAAACTGGATTTCCTGTAATTACAGATTATTTCGAATCTTTCTGGGCATATGCAGGCTATTGTAGCTAGCGCAAATATGCTGGCTAACAACGAATGACTTTAAACGTTCATGATTTAGCAAAACGTAGCGGGCTTGGCCATTTCTTGGCAATATTATCGAGATCGTAAGAAGGCTATTTTGCTATTAACATAGATTGATTTCTCATATAAAATTTTTTTCTCTGAATTCTGAAGATACCGCTTAATCCCGA